TACTATTATTATTGTTATCATTACTATTACTATGATCATTATCATTAATGTTAATATTATTCTTAAAAACGTGCATAAGATAATGTATTATATATATATATATATATATATATATATATATATTATATATATATATAATGTATATATATGTATATATGTGTATATATATATATATATGTGTGTGTGTTATATATATATCATTATTACTATTTTTATTATCATTGATATTATTACTATTACTATCATTATTACTATTTTTATTATCATTGATATTATTACTATTACTATCATTATTACTATTTTTATTATCATTGATATTATTACTATTACTATCATTATTACTATTTTTATTATCATTGATATTATTACTATTACTATCATTATTACTATTTTTATTATCATTGATATTATTACTATTACTATCATTATTACTATTTTTATTATCATTGATATTATTACTATTACTATCATTATTACTATTATTATTGTTATTATTACTATTACTATCATTATTACTATTTTTATTATCATTGATATTATTACTATTACTATCATTATTACTATTTTTATTATCATTGATATTATTACTATTACTATCATTATTACTATTTTTATTATCATTGATATTATTACTATTACTATCATTATTACTATTTTTATTATCATTGATATTATTACTATTACTATCATTATTTTTATTTATTTATTTATTTATATACATATATTACATATATAAATTATGTATTCATATAAGGTTGCTACATATCTACATCACACACACACACGTGTGTGTATTTGCATGTGTGTATACTTATGTGCATATATATATAAATGTGTGTATGTCTATATGTATACTGCAGACATGTATCATATAAGTACATATACACACGCACTTTTTCTGTTTATCTTTTTTTATATATTTTTTTTTTTATTTTAGGACACATTAACTATGGCACTCTGACACTCATCAGCGTGGCACTCATCGTTTGGCAACCCCTGCGCCCACCCGCTTCCCTTGACCTGTTTCTTCTATGTACATAAATTGAACTCCTTTACCTTCCTCTGCGTTTTATCCTTCTTTTATCAGTCTCTCCTCCATGCTTCCCCCCACGCAAAACGTCGCGCACTTACGATGGTGGAGTAGAAGGTGCAGGTGGCGCCCATGATAAGGATGTTGAGGAGGATGTCGAGCCCCGTGAAGGCTTGTAGGGCGATGGAGGGCGGGTACAGCAGGAAGCCCATGAAGAAGTAGCCGCCCACCAGCTGCAGCACCACGGTGGTCTGCCGCAGCCACTTCGCGTTGAACCGCTTCTCAATGTACTGAAACACAGCTGTAATTCATCATGGTGTTCCCTGATTCTATCTGGAATATATCTCAAGGTCGAAGAGCTTCGACACTATATCTCATTATCACTTTAATATTCGACAAAGTGAATATTAAAGTAAACTTATGTACTCAGCTTGCCTCGTGCACAAGGCAAAGTCGGGCCAAACACGGCAGGCTCCGCCTGGCCTTGTTCTCACTCACCTCGTACAGCGAGACGACCTCCATGGGGTGGATGATGGGGATCATGATCTTGGCGATGAGGATCAGAGCCAATATGATGCCCAGGTCCATGATCCACAGCTGCGTGCCGTACGCGTACATCTCGCCCGCGTTGCCCATGATGGTGATGGCCGACACTGTGCCCACCATCATGCTCATGGCCAGCGGCAGGGGCTTCATCTTCCTCGAGCCCATGAGGTAGGACTCGGGGGTGGCGCGGCGCCCCACATAGCCCTGGTATAGTCCGATGACCGCGCTCACCAGCACCGACAGCGTCAGCAACAGAATGTCCACGATCCCGAGACCCATGGCGGCGGCAAGTTGAAACTCCCGCCTGCTCTCTTCACTAATTCCTGTATGTTACTAAAACTGAAATAACCCAACTCTATTCTGCATGCAATGTTTACGTCACGACTTTTTACGCAGACAACCCCAAGGAATTCAAAGTGCCTTCCGGTGATAAAGACGATAGACAATATCCCCACGTTGCGAAAGCCATTGAGATCCTGTATGAAACTGTGTTTACATTTTTTCACGTCCTTATAACTATTACAAGCGCATTGCAAGTAACTAGAACGAAAATGTATAAATTTATAAACAAACAAATAAATAAACTGACTTCACGTGCCAAACGAAACGGAGATTTCTGCTCATTCTGCTCAGCCCTGTTATTGTGAATTAAATTATCCTACACTGCGGTTCACTCATAAGACAAACTATAGTGAATTGAAGATACTTCGACTCATAACAGTTGCCATCATCATAATCATAACGAAAAGATTGGGATATTAACAGAGGTTATATTAAGCAGAATTAACAAAAGGATTATAGAAACACAACGTCAATAAAAGTGAGAAAAGATAATGATTTTTTAAATTACTTTCACTTTTATCATTTCATTATGATTTTCGTCATCACTAACTGCTCTTTTTTATTATGATTAATATTGTCATCATTGCTGTTGTTTATAATGTATTATTATTATTAATGTCAGTATTATTATTTTTATTGTTATTATCAATAATGTTATTATCAATAATGTGATTCTTAGCATTATTATCATTGTTGCTTTTGTTATTAATAATAATATAATTATCGTCATCATCATCATTATCGTGGGTATTAGTATTTTGTTATTATTATTATTATCATTATTATTATAATAATAATAATAATTATTATTATTATTATTATTATTATTATTATTATTATTATTATTATTATTATTATTATATTATTATTATCATTATTATTATTATTATTATTATCATTATTATTACTATTATTATTATTATTATTATTATTATTATTATTACTATTATCATTATTATTATTAACATTAGCATTAGCATTAGCATTAGCATCATTATTATCATTATTATTACTATAATTATAATTATAATTATAATTATAGTAATAGTAATAATAATCATTATTATCATTATCATTATTATTATTATTATTATTATCATTATCATCATTATCATTATCATTATTATTATTATTATTATCATTATTACTATTATTTTACTATTATCATTATTATCATCATCATCATCACCATCACCATCATCATTATCATTATCATCATTATCAATCATAATCCCTATTGTTCATATTATTATCATCTTTATTATTATCATCACTATTATTAATATCAGTATCATTATCATTATCATCATCATCATTACTTTTTTTCATTTTACTGATATTCTAATTATTCTTATGGTTACTGTCATGAATTGTATTTATTGGCATTACTCGCATGATTATCACCACTACTCTTATCATTACTATAATTTACATGTTATTTCTGGCATCATTATCCGCGCCTATTGTCATCGCTGTTATTATTCTCCTAACTATCCTGTTCATTGTCATAATTAATAACAATCTTATCATCATTGTCATTATCTACTGTATTATTACTCTTATTATTATCATTATTATTTTCATTATTATCATTTTTATTATTATTATTATTATAATTAATGTCGTTACTATCATTATTATTACGATGACATGTTGATATTATTATTACTGATATATTATTACTGATATCATTATTACTGATTTTCACTATTATCTTATTATTATATATATTTATTTATTACTACAACTTCTACTATTACCGTTATTATCATTATTATTTTTATTATTATTATTATTATTATTATTATTATTATTGTTATTATTATTATTATTATTATCATTATTATTATTATTAATGTTGTTGTTGTTGTTGTTGCTTTGTTGTTGTTGTTGCTGCTGTCGTTAATATCATTATCACTATTATAATTATCATTAACATTATCATCATCATTATCACTGTCATTATTATCATATTTTTTACCATTACTATCATCATCATGAGCATGATTGTTATTGTTAACATTATCATTATCATTTTTATATTTATCATACATATTGTTTTAACTTATATTATTATCATTATCAGTATTATCATTATTATCATTGTCACTATCATTGTCATTATCATTTTCATTATTATTATTCTCATTAGTATTATTTCATTATCATTATTTTCATTAACATTATCATTATTATTATTATCAATATTATTATCATTACTGTTATTCTTATTATAATACAGTTATTACTTTCCTTATTTATCATTATTACTTCTTTTACTGATATTATATTATCACCACTACCATCGTTCTTACATTGCTGTTGTTATTATTGCTTAATCATAGAAAAAAATGCCCCTTGCCTGGATTTTCCAATTCACACATTCTCGTATCTGCCACTATGCCTAAGCACTCTGCCGTACGTAACGTCACGAAACCTTGATAAAAAGAGAACGTGACGCAATGAAAAGGGTTGTGTTAGTGGAAAATTTGTCGTTGGTTATGTATGGCTTGGTACGGTGTCCTTTGCGTGGCTTGGAGTGTGTTTAACACACGTAAGGGGTAAGATGGAATTGAACATAGACACAGTGATGGTGATCTTCTGTTTTTTGTTTGTTTGTTTGTTTTCAACGAGTTGTATTACGTGTTAATGATTCCTGTTGTTCTCTTGGGAGAAATGTTCTTATAACTGCTCATAGATGATGTTAGTTGAGGGTCACACGTTTCACTGAAAATATCCACTGCTGTTTGTGTATCTCTTCTTCATCACACAGGGTTGACAAATACTCCTTTCCCACACACGCGTTCACACTTTCATAATCCACCGTGACCAAAAAAAACACACATCGTTCACCAACTCACAAAAAGACACCCAATAACTAGCCAACGCGTTCCACCAGACCCAACGAGGAACCGAATAAAACAAATCCCTTTACACTCCGTTCTCACATCCAACGAGCGTCGTGTGTGTATCGAGGCCGAGACGGGGCTACAGTAAAGAGTCCGGGGAGGATGTGCTTGTGATAAACTGACAGCACGAGCGTCAAAACCCACGATGATGCTAGACGCAATAAGGCCGTTTATTTCTAGGTTTCACAACACCGTTTTATCTAAGGATTCGGATGTGTGATATGAATAACCTGATTACGGAGCTGTACTCTAGATTCTGAATGTCATAAAATATTCATTCTGACACTGAATACTGCATGAACGAACTATAGCGAATGAGGATAGTGATGACGAAATAAATGTTCAGAATTTACAGAAATGATGAATAGCATCCGCATGTCCAAGAATCCGCATGAGTTCGTTCCTTTTCTTTTCTCTCTTTTTAAATATGCTAATTAGAGAAACACAAACACATTTTCTCTCATTTATCTGGGCTACACTAAATGCAGAATACATCATCATAACAAGCCATGTAACCAGCAAGCAGAAAATATATAAATTGATGTAATTTACGTTGATGATGAACATTAAACACAACGCACACATAAACATACACACACACACAAACGTTATTCTCACATTAGGTCATAGGTCAAGGGTCTCCCATGGGATTTTTCTTTTACCACGAAGAAAGATCCTTATGACGAAGGATTAAATTTCATGAACTTTATTTTCATGTGATTCAGTTGCCCCTTTCAGTTACTTAATTGCTTTTTTAACATTTACTTTGGGGCTTACCACTGCCCGTTCCACTTTCAAGAAACGACGATTTTTCACAAATGCAATAAAATATCGACTTTTGACTTTCTTCCTTTCAATTCTCCGGTCTCCCGTTTTCCTCATTAATATCTGTTTATCTGACGCTTTCTTTTCATAAAAAATACTCGGGATAAGTTATTGTTTCTTAAATATTATTACGGGAAGGTATATATGAAAGGAAAATGGAGAATTGGAAGCGAGGAGTTTAATAAAACTGTGAGATGTTTTCCCTGAAGCAACATCCGGTATTTCTTTTATCCCATGAAAGACCTTGGAATGGTAAAGGAATATATATACTTATAATGGATAATATCATAATATTGGATCTTTTAATATGAGTATTGTCATGAAACATCATGTTAAGGCCTTTAAAAATCAAAAGAATGAACATAATCTGTAAGGAAAAGTTAAAATTGAATTTGTGGATTTCACACTACTCTCTTCCGCCCAGGCAAATTCATTACGAGGTTAAGCATTTCAGCAAAATTGAAAGATTAGAAAATTAATAGTGTGGAAAATAGAGTTGCTCTAATCATTTTAGTGAACTTAACGAACTTGTGAAGAAATGTATATATAAAATGCGCTAAGAACTGTTAGAATATATTACGGACGTTTTAATGATATAAAAAACACAGTTTTAATGTAGATAGAAAATAGAAAAACTAAATGATGATGAAAATGATAATGATAATCATAATAATGGTAGTGATGATGATAGTGACGGTGATAATGATAATGTTCATGATAGCAACGATAATGATAATGAGGACAATGATAGTGACAGTAATGTTGAATACGATAAGACCATGATAAAGATAATGATAATAATGAAAAAAATACATTGATACAATGGATAGGAAATTAGACGTGTAATTAGAACAAACATTTTTTTTCCAGATAACAAGGAAAGTGTGTGTCTCTCTCTCTCTCTCTCTCTCTCTCTCTCTCTCTCTCTCTCTCTCTCTCTCTCTCTCTCTCTCTCTCTCTCTCTCTCTCTCTCTCTCTCTCTCTCTCTCTAAAGGTTTTCTAAATTCATGGACAGATAGAAGAAATAGTTTTTCAATGCTTTTATTCAACATAAGGGAGTAAAAGTGTTTATAAGTACATTTCAAGGATGTTGGGTTTTACATTTAAGCTCGTAACTTAAATATAAACTTAACCTTAAGTACAACATGTATAAAAATATAAAAATACAATCAGTTACAGTTTTCAAATAAAAACTGAGATTAAACTTGAATTATAATGCCCATTTCTTTTCTTAAACTAATCTCAGAAAATAAACAAAATTCGTAACGCAAGCCTGAACATTACTTAATATTGAGACACAATTTTTCTAACCCTATGTGTCCTTTTTTTTTAACTACCTTTTTGTTTGACTTGATTTCAGTAGCTCCATTTCCTTTAAGAATACCACTTGTTTTTCCTTAGAACGTGTCAGCTAAAGTGATCTTATAAGAAAAAGAAAATACCTGATAGATCTTAGCTGTAGGAATACTACCTTGAAGTGCGTTATGGTAAGTAGACATTTAATATAGTTTGTTTCTGTTTTAAAGATCCCTGTGGGAGTTAGAAGGTAAATTCAACCCACAATTCCAACTGTGCTAAAATTACTCCACTAATAGGAGATATTAGTTTTTTTTAACTAGCCAACACAATGTATTCCCTTCCCATATCTGGCCTGCCGTGGTAACTGAGTATGACACCCCTGTTTTTCTTTATTAATTTCATATGAATGTAGATATTAGTCCTTCTAATCGTGAGACCAATTGTTGTTGTTTTTAACTGAGTTAGGCTACATAGCATTAAGAAAAAAATATATATGTACAAATGAAAAGTCTATATTCATTTTTATGAAACGACTAAAACCTTTGGTGTAAATCTTTCAATTAAATAAGAAAAAAATGTTAAAATGTCCTAAAATTTGATCGAAACAAACCCGTGTTCTTGCCTGTTGCAGAACTACTGGTCCTTAACACTAAGAGACTGCACTAGTGACAAAATTATTTGTACATGAATAGAATTATTCTACGTATATTTAATGTGTATATACATTTATATAAATATGGACAGACAGGCAGACAGAGACTCACTTAAAACACACGAATAGATGCACTCTATCATACAAACATGAATATCTCTCTCTCTCTCTCTCTCTCTCTCTCTCTCTCTCTCTCTCTCTCTCTCTCTCTCTCTCTCTCTCTCTCTCTCTCTCTCTCTCTCTCTCACTCACTCACTTAAACACACACACACACATACACACACACACATACCATTCACGCACGCACGCACGCAAACACAGATGTTCATATAATCTAAGATCGGGAAAGAGCGATATATATTAGATTCAAGAATTGCTATTCCTTAATATTAGACACACAGAATATAGATTTCTGACTTTCTGTCTCGTATTCACCAGTTGTTGTTGTTGTTTTTTTGTCTCCCTGCCTTCATTCCTTTGCCATGGCACTTTCATTTTAAAGTCACTTCAACATAAGCTTTCCTTTCATTTCTTTTTTTTTTCTACGACACCAGGAAAAGACAGAAGAAATCCATCACAAACACTCTCTTCAACTCCGTTTTTTGGCATGCACTTAAAAAAAAGAAACCGTGTCAATATTTGTGCTTTCAGTCTAAGGGAAAAAGTAAACAATCATCTCAAACGGCCCCACGACTCGCCGCATCGCCCTCCGCCTTCACCTCTGCCAGATCTCGGTTACTTGACAAAATTTCCTTTTCCTCAGGGTCTCCCAATTCGATCCCCTTCTCTTCTACTTTCTTATTTTCGTTATTCTCCGCGGGAGAAGAGGCTGAGCGTCGGAGGAGCTTCTTGATGAGGGATTCTCTGCCTTGGATGAGGGTCCATTTCTCGAAGAGCCGCCACGCTATTCCGTTCACGTACTTCTTGTCTACGTCTTCCAGGGAGTTGGTGCCTGGGGGAATGGACGCGTAAATTAAAACAAAGAAAAGACAAAATAACGTGTACATACAAATAAAATAAGACACTTTGTCCAACTAGATCGGAATAAGGTGTGACGCTTCTGAGCTTTCGAGTTTGAAGCTCCTCTTCGGATGTAGTAAAATCCCGTCCCTAGATGTGGACTTGAAGGATGCTTTTTATGTTTTGCTTTCGTAAAGAAGCACACTAATCCGAATAATCAATTCTCATTTATCTGTTATATGCAACATCTGTTATAATCTAACAATTTACTGAGTAATGTATTCCTAAAGATTCTTATATCTAAAATATATGTAGACTAACGATAAAACTGCCTATTGAAACGTATTAGTTCTGACAATTGTTACAAAATAACTCTTTTAATTGTTCCCATTCATTTTGATTTCCTTAAAGGAATGCATGAAAAATAATAAGAGTACTAATGATAAAGAAAATTGGAATTTACAAGCTTTCTCAAAATAACAACAATACAAAGGGCCCTTCATAAATAGTAGACTTACCCGTGAACAGAGTGACGATGAAGGCCACTAGAATGCAGATGACTACCCCAAGGAACGAATTAAGGCAGTAAGATAAACCGTAGAAAACGTGAACATCATTCCTGTGAAAAAAAAAATAAATAAAAAACGGTGATTACATATATTTCCTTTGTCTAATATCACCACATTTGAAATAGACGCACTGATAACCTGTGGTCTTTTATCTCCAGACTTCCTGTCTTCACGGTTTCTACACAATGTTTTTCCGTACATTAACTGTAACACCAAAATATTAACCGAATGTATACTCACTCTGCCTCTATTTTTACAATGCTGCTGTCATCGGTGGTGTTGGTGGCAGGGCAGCTTTCCTGGGACATAGGCAGGTAAGGTTCTTTGGTCTGAGTCAACAGCTGACCAAAAGCTAACCATACGCTCATGACGATGGAAACGAGGAAACCAGACGAAGCACCCTGGGGATAGGGAAATGGTTCAGTAATTTGGTCTCTGTGTAGAGGACGATGGAATAACGTTTATAGGCGTACTATGTCGTTTTAATATGTATATATACATATATATATTCAATATATTTAGTATATATAGAAATGAACAGATTAACAATTAACTATAAAAACGCACATATATATATATATGCGTGTGTGTGTTTATTTGTTTATATATCTATTCATACGTATGCATATATATACATATAACAAATATATAAAGAGATAGCCAGATAATCTGCTACAGAAACACAAGCATAAATATCTGTATTCATTTACAACATACACAAAGGTACCGTGAGAGCTTGAAATAAATATGAAATAGACACCCCTTAAAAAGGTAACATTTTCTATAATCAGTGTTACCAGTTTATACGGTAACTGGGGGATCTTTTCTTAACATATCCCTTACATGACTGTATTCGCTAGTATAAGAGTGTGTGTGTCTGTGTGTGTGTGTCTGTGTGTGTGTGTCTGTGTGTGTGTGTCTGTGTGTGTGTTTCTGTGTGTGTGTTTCTGTGTGTGTGTGTGTGTGTGTGTGTGTGTGTGTGTGTGTGTGTGTGTGTGTGTGTGTGTGTGTGTGTGTGTGTGTGTGTGTGTGTGTGTGTGTGTGTGCGCGCGCGCGCATAATATACATACATACTGTACACAGTGTATATATATATATATATATATATATATATATATATATATATATATATATATACATATATATATTTATATGTATATGTATATATGTGTGTGTGCTGTACACTCTAAAAATATACTGTATATTTATATATGTATATATATACATATATATATACATATATATATATATATATATATATATATATATATATATATATATATATATGTATGTATGTATGTATGTATGTATGTATATATATATGTATATATATATTCATATATATATTTATTTATTTATTTACTTATTTATTTATTTATTCATATATGCATTGTACATTGTGTGTGTGTGTGTGTATATATACATATACATATATATATATATATATATATATATATATATATATATATATATATATATATATATAGATATCGACTGATCGTTAACAAACCTTACAAAGTAATCAGCTATCCCAAATCTAACCAAACTTGCTCCCTGAGCACGAGGCTACGAGCCCTCAGCTCTGGAAGTTTACGCACCTTCAGATTAACCCACGGCAGGCAGAGGGCGATGATGAAGAGGCCGATGAGAGGGCCTGAGAGAGCGCCGTTGATCGCGAAGAGTGCCCTTAGGAAGGACCTGCCCAGCATGGACACCACTAGACCCAGCACGATGGCCACGACCCCAGAGAGCAAGACTGGAAAGGAAATGTTAAATGTTGGTAAATTCACCTTGGGAAAGAAAACGGAATTTGCATGGAGTGTATTCTGTATGTTTAGATCAATGAGTCTACGGGATAAAAATTCACCTTGAAGATGTTAAGTGAAAGGAAATGGAACCGAGATTACTGATATGAAATCATTACCGGGAAATCAAAGAAAACGTAATTTAGAATAAAACATATATCCAGGAAGCTAAAGAAAACAGAAATTAAAGATGATGAGAAAGCAAGGAAAACGGGGAAAAGACCAGATAACCAGAAAATTGCAGATACATTTATATCCCAAAATAGTTTGGAAAAATAATGATGCCTTTGGACTTTGACTAACCTATAACCTTCTGTAATGCTCCAGCCTTGACATCGCTCCAGGAACCGAAGAAATGAGGTTTGAGGAAGTCTGCCCACAGTAAAGCTGTCATGGAGTTGAGCTGCGTCGAGACAGAACTGTGCGGGAATAAAACTACATGTCAGAGGTCCTGTAACGCTACAGTAACACTATGCTGTCATTTTCGTGTAAAATATAGATCAGTGCATAGAGTTTCATGTATATTATCCCAATTAAGGGTATTGTTCAACAGGTCAACCCCACACAAAGGACAAACAACATAAGCATCTTCCACTACCTAAGAACAGCAGCATAAATGGCCGCTACGAAGATGCCAGCGAGACCAGGGACTCTCGTCAGCACCGTCAGCACGTAGAGGATGACCACGTAAGCAGGTTCCCCAGCCCCAGGAGCTGCCAGGGGATCGCACTTGTAGAAGTGGGCGTAGATGGCCAACCCCGAAAGGTGGATCAGCCCTCTCAGTAATATCATTCCACCCGCAGCGTAATAAAGCACCCTGGACGAAGAACGTGGAGGAATTAGGTTCTCGCAAATAAATACAGATCTCTCGCTTAAGTAGCTATGGGTATGTACAAGTAATCAGACAACATAGAAGAAGAAATATTCGACGACATACCTCTGGGCTTCCTGGATGGTCCTGGTGCTGAAGAAGCGCTGAGTCTGACTCTGGTTGACGCCATAGGATCCCAGAGCGAAGAAGAAGCCCATTACGAGGCAGAGCCAGAAGCTGTGTCGCTGATATGGGTCTAAGTCAAAGCTGGTGGAGAAAGGTCATCTCAGAGGCTTTATGATATATCAAATTTGTAACAGTTATTCCATTTGTTTTACAGTAAAATACACATTGATTTAGCTAACTTGCACCATTAAATATTTTGTGTAAAGCATTGCCAAGAGACTTACTTGAAGAACTCTGTCCTGTTATGGCGGTGGGCGATGTCCCACACCGTGTCGAGGCCGCCGACGTTGAGAGAGCCAATAATGACGATGGCTAAAACACCCGCCAGCATGACTAGTGCCTGAAACACGTCTGTGTACACTACCGCCTTCACGCCACCCTGAGGAGAACACGTTCGTATTAAGAGTTGTATTTTGTGATCGATGTAAACCGTGCAGTAAGCTAAGAATTATTTGAACAATATATTGATCAGTTGATAGTTGGGCACATATTTCTCGTAAGATCGTCAAAAAATATATAAAACTAACAATGGTAGAGTAGAAGGTGCAGGTGGCGCCCATGATAAGGATGTTGAGGAGGATGTCGAGCCCCGTGAAGGCTTGTAGGGCGATGGAGGGCGGGTACAGCAGGAAGCCCATGAAGAAGTAGCCGCCCACCAGCTGCAGCACCACGGTGGTCTGCCGCAGCCACTTCGCGTTGAACCGCTTCTCAATGTACTGAAACACAGCTGTAATTCATCATGGTGTTCCCTGATTCTATCTGGAATATATCTCAAGGTCGAAGAGCTTCGACACTATATCTCATTATCACTTTAATATTCGACAAAGTGAATATTAAAGTAAACTTATGTACTCAGCTTGCCTCGTGCACAAGGCAAAGTCGGGCCAAACACGGCAGGCTCCGCCTGGCCTTGTTCTCACTCACCTCGTACAGCGAGACGACCTCCATGGGGTGGATGATGGGGATCATGATCTTGGCGATGAGGACCAGAGCCAATATGATGCCCAGGTCCATGATCCACAGCTGCGTGCCGTACGCGTACATCTCGCCCGCGTTGCCCATGATGGTGATGGCCGACACTGTGCCCACCATCATGCTCATGGCCAGCGGCAAGGGCTTCATCTTCCTCGAGCCCATGAGGTAGGACTCGGGGGTGGCGCGGCGCCCCACATAGCCCTGGTATAGTCCGATGACCGCGCTCACCAACACAGATAGCGTCAGTAACAAAATGTCCACGATCCCGAGACCCATGGCGATGGTAGAAATCCAGACACTTCTCACGCTTCACTCTTACCGTCCACAGTGAATCACTCACTTACAGTCACTCCAAAGTTTGTTTATCATATACTCCACGCTATAATGGATTTAGTTATCAATTATCTTTCTGCATAAAATGTTATCAAACTGAAGATTTAGTTTATCCTCCTTTGGTACAAACAGATAAAGCCGTTTTCCAGCAACTCTGAAATTAAAAAGAAACAAAGATGCATTAAAAATTGTGTAAAATAATTGCTCGTTCATGAAGCAATATATTTTCTTACAAAGGTTCTTATTCTCTTTTTGCTATTGGTAATTCTAATCAGTTACATGCAGCTTTTTTATTAAATGAATTCATAATATCACACGCTCAGCATAATATAAATTGTGTTAATGACTTATAAAAGGCTGAATACATCATTAATTAATGATAATAAGAAAGGGATTGTTAGAAGGAAGAAAATATTTCAAGAAAGTATACAACTAATAGGATAACACGTATACAAAACGCCACATACTTTAGAAAGTCTGATCACAACACGAAATTTAACCAGCTAACGAGTAGATATTTCATTGGCACTCACATTTAAAAAAAGACATCATATCATTATGCTTATAATCATTTACCGCCAAAGACACTGAACAGTTACACAGACGTCCGATGTCATAGGTGTGACAGTCGCAAAACTCGAGACCAAACCTGACTGGCTTAGGACTCCTTAGAAGGACAAAGACAGGTGATGCAAATGGTGTGCGTGTGGATAATGGACCTCCTTCTAGCTGAGGCACGAGGGGGGCGTAAAATCACTGTGCACTTGTAGATTTCTGTGACAAATGACCCTGGAACTTGTCCATACTATAAATCATGTAATATTTATATATGACTTCTAGATTATTATGAGAAATGAGCGAGGTGTCAATGTTGTGTTGTATGCATACCAATGACAACGCAGAATTAGTAGGGGTGAGGGTTACCGATATATCCACATGACATTTATATCAGTGGCAAGATAGCTTCAATACTATGTTGGTAAAAGGTATGCTGTCTTTTGTGTGAATAACTATGTTTTGTATATCGGCAATCACAGTTTGTTGATTTTTGCTTTCGACAGTGTTAATTTCTATCTGAACGAGATGCTAACTTAAAAAAAGATCATCACAATAATTTCATTGGAAGTGTATATAATTTAAAGAAGTGCTTTACAATTATATTTCCTTTGTTATTTTGCCACATGAACACAAACTTTAGGTAAATATAAAACGTAATGTGACTAACCCAACTGAATCTATAATATAATATTAATAATATGATTAATAAAACTCGGAAGTGGAAGGTCACTAGGAAAAAGGGACATTTAATGCACTGACTATAAGGTCCAGTATTCATTGAAATGTATTAGGAAAGCCGACCAATATGGTATTCTGCTTCAGCTTCGCGAAGGGAACAAAATCCTAACAATAGGAGATTGTATACGATACTCTGTATTTTCGATTGTCTGTTTTGGTGTGTGTGTGTGTCAGAGATAGGGAGAGAGAGTGAGTGTGTGTGTGTGTGTGTGTGTGTGTGTGTGTGTGTGTGTGTGAGAGAGAGAGAGAGAGTATTTGTATGTGTGTATGGGTGTGTGTGTGAGTCAGAGAGAGAGTGTTTGTCTGTGTGTGTGTGAAAGAGAGATAGTGTTTGTCTGTGTGCGTGTGTGTGTGTGAGAGAGAGAGAGAGAGAGAGTGTCTGTGTGTGTATATGTGTGCGTGCGTGTATTTGAGCGTGTGTGTGTGTGAATATAAGCGTATACGTGTGCATTTCATCACGCCATGAGGGTAATCAAAATACCTAGCCTAACAATTCCCCCATTGTCAATGCATGAGGCAGCCCCATAACACGTAAATTGATAGGGATGAGGAGCTGATTGGCCTGACACGCCCACCATAGTGCTACGGAGGGTTAGCGAACACGCCATTTGGGTTAGTGTGTCACCTTCTGTCCCTTGCATAATTAACACTTGCGCCTTCTAAGAAAGGTAACATAGACTATTATACGAGCACGTGTTTGTTACACGATCCACGTTAGCTATTATGTAAAGACAGGGGGGGGGGGAGAGTAGGCAGAGTAATCCGACGATTCATAGCAATTTTTTTTCACGCATTTCTGAACTTAAAGGAAAAATCTCCTTTGACGAAAACGTTGGGGAATCCCTTGGTTTGGAGAGTTACATGATCCAGCAGACCAAACAGTGACAAATAGACGTCATCGGGTGGATCTCTTACAGTTTTCGTTTTCTTTCAATGTCTTTTCTCTCAGCTTAATCTCATTTTCTTTTTCTTTTTCTTTTCTTTTTTTTTGGGGGGGGCAAACTGCGATATATCTCTATATTTTAGATAAAACAAAGGAGCATAAGAATGTTAGTGTAAAAAGCACTATGTGTTTACAAAGTGAATGCCACAGACGACCGGGGCAATGTTATCTTAGCAAGCACTTCATCATCCGAAAATAAACAATGTTAGTCTTCGTAACATAATTCAACGAACTGAATTACTTCACTGTGTTAAAGAATAATAAAAGTAATAAAATATCTGAACATAGACTCCATATTGAATACCGGAGTCACACGACAAAGAAGAATCTTTCGAACTTTATCAAAAACGGCGAAATAATATTACGAAACTGTATAAACGCGCATTTATTACCACAGCCGTTTATCCAGAGATGATTAAAAAGGATCCACCTGTGAATGCTTCTCTCAGCGGACAAGTTCTGGCAACACTGCAAGAATAGCAAACCCAGTGATTAGACGAAGATAAAATTACAATCGCTCATTGTATTAAGGAGAAAGCCTTTGGTGCATGTGATTTGTGGAAGGAAATATTCCTGATTGTGATATTTGTTTTAAATACAGTACGTGAAGGAGGGAAATAAAGAGAAAGGAAAGAGGAAAATAGATATAAGGAACTAAACATCTTGACTCTTGATTATTTTGGGATATTTTAGTACTTGTGATAGTGTGTATTGTGATGGTGTGTCATGGTAGCTGGGTCTATATATGAAAATACATTTGCAAACGTACATCCGAAAAAAAAACTAAAAATCAAGAGATGAAGATCCATTTCATAGGAACTTCTTTTCATAGATAACCTACCTAAAGTTTACGGTTTTCCCCTTTCATATAGACTAATATTATATGATTGGTAAAATGTGTGTGTGTGTGTGTGTGTCTGTGTGTGTGTGTGTGTGTATGTGTGTGTGTGTGTGTGTGTGTGTGTGTGTGTGTGTGTGTGTGTGTGTGTGTGTGTGTGTGTGTGTCTCAAGACAGTAGATTCCCATGAAAAAAATACAATTCTCCTCTTTAATGGAGCACTCCAGATAAGAAATTCTTAGGTAAAGACCGTGAGACAGAACTCTCAAGAAAAAAAAAATCTTATTCTCTACTTTAGAGGGAAGAAATACTTGAGGTGGAAGGCCAAGGGCGTCTGTCAAATCTCCGTAGGGCGTGGAATCTGCCCTTCAGAGACGACCGAAACCAACACTATTCATTCCTTCATCGCCTTCATCTTTGTTGTCTCTCCTACGAGCGAATGCATCCTCTGATCTAAAGAAATCGCCGGATTTTTACACCGCCGTGAAACAATGCATACTTTCATCGGGATTTCAAACTAATTAGTCACTTAATCGGGGAAGAAAAAAAACGTTTCTCTGAACTTTTGTTTACCCAAGCGCTAACGTACACAGACTCACACATACGAGCACCCACACACCCACGCATAGCTACAGATATACAGATAGATAGATAGATAGATATAAATATGGGATATAACAAGGAATAACCCGCTATCCAGAGCAAAATACAGGCACCAACCGTAATGAATGTCGTCTCATATTTCTTTTTGTATTTATTCAGTAAAGAAGTTCGAGTGATCGCAGGAGGTTGGGGGTGATTCCCGTATCTTCTACCGTAAACAGAGCGAAGGACTAAATAGTGGATTTGGTTTGCCTTCCCTAAGGAATTTTCCTCGTTCGTTTCCGTGTAGCTTGTGTAGAAGAGGCATGTGGTTGTGCGTATACTATCTCATGTACATATATGTGTGTGTGTGTGTGTGTGTGTGTGTGTGTGTGTGTGTGTGTGTGTGTGTGTGTGTGTGTGTGTGTGTGTGTGTGTGTGTTTGTACACATACATAAACACACACACTTATATAATATATTATATCATATATATATAAATATATATATAAATATATATATATATATATATATATATATATATACATACATATATATATACATACATATATATATATATATATATATATATATATATATATATATATATATATATATATATATATATATATATGGATGGATGTAGATACATACATACCTACACACACACACACATCTCTCTCTCTCTCTCTCTCTCTCTCTCTCTCTCTCTATATATATATATATATATATATATATATATATATATATATATGTGTGTGTGTGTGTGTGTGTGTGTGTGTGTGTGTGTGTGTGTGTGTGTGTATGTTATATATTTGGAATTCATGTCGAACAAATTGCAAGTAGAACAATGAAGGGAAGTACAGAAAAACACACGAATATGCTAATATTCGTGTGTTTTCCTGTACTTCGCTTCATTGTTGTACTCTACGAGAGAGAAGAAGACAAAGTCTCAGACGCAGACACAGACAGGGAGACATAAAGGGATAAAAAACAAACTCAAAAAGCAATACATGACCAGGCTTGCGTTGTAGTAATGATGTTAACCATACCTGTTACTCCCCCTGTGTATATATTTCCCGCACGAATTGCTGAGTTGCTCGTGAAGAGGATGATTGCGTACTGTCTAAGGAATGCTGTCCTAACCCCACCCCCCCACTCCTTGCTATGACCCTCCCCCCTCCCCCACTGACCCTCCCATGGCGACCCCACCTACCAACCCCGCTGCCAACTTTTTCTGAGTCTTTTCTGTACGTAAGTTTATAAGCAGATGCTAGTTTATATGTAACTGGCCAGGGAGAAGTCTGTGATATAGTGCTTGCTTACTAATAACATGTTATGTTTTTTGTTTGTTTTGTTTTTTGCTTTTCATATAACATTTCACCATTATATGAATAAATGGAATAAAAAACATAAATGAAAGTAGACCCCACATACATATATATGTGTGTACACAAATACACACACACAAACACACATGCACGCACGCACGCACA